AGCCCGCATGCGCAACATCTGCATTGCCACCTCGGAGAAGGTGGGGCGCTCCATGAACAAGAAGACCTACGACGGGGTGGTCCGGGCTCTGCTGCAGAAGCCCAATGCCAGAGTGGTTGTGCTGTTCACCCGAAGCGAAGATGCCCGGGAGCTGCTGGCGGCTGCCCAGAGAGCCAATGTGTCCTTCACGTGGGTGGCCAGTGATGGGTGGGGAGCCCTGGAGAGTGTGGTGGCTGGGAGCGAAGCAGTGGCAGAGGGAGCCATCACCATCGAACTGGCAGCCTACCCCATTAAGGAGTTTGCTGCCTACTTCCTTAACCTCAACCCCTACAATAACAGCCGAAATCCCTGGTTTCGGGAGTTTTGGGAGCAGAAGTTCAAGTGCAGCTTCCACACGCAGGACTGTAGCCGGTACTCCCTCAAGACAGGCAAGTTTGAGCCAGAGTCCAAGATCACATTTGTGGTCAACGCAGTCTATGCCATGGCTCACTCTCTCCACAACATGCACCAGGCGCTGTGCCCCAACGCCACCAAGCTCTGTGACGCCATGAAGCCTGTCAATGGCAAGAGGTTCTACAAGGACTTTATGCTCAATGTTAATTTTGACGGTGAGTCCAGAGATGGAGATGGGGTTTGGCTGCCTAACTGGAAGGGGGTGGGTGGAGGGCCAAGGAGAAGGAAGGAGACCTAGATTTGACCCAAAGCCCTCCAGTTCCTCCAGCCTGCCCATACCGAGGGACCCCTGTGCCATGAGCTCTGGTTGTCCCAGGATGCCAACAGCTCACCATCACCCCTGGGAGGCAATCCAGGCCTTTCATCCCCAGTGTGGAAAAGCTGGTGACCAACTCCATCCTGCTAGAACTGGGTGGGACTGTCCCCACAGGGGCGCCTCCAAGACCACGGGTCCTTGGAGACCTCACTTGCAAAAAACATGATTTATTCCCATTTCAGTGATTAAACTGGAGGGAGACCCTCATCAGGGACCTACATGGTTGGACGTGAATTAGAAGTGTGTCCTCTGTGACTTGGGCTGAGCCCGGCTACCCAGGTGTCATTGAGAGCCATGAAGGCTGCCAAATCCACCTCTTTGTCCCTGCAGAGCTGTCTGGGGCTGCCGAGCTGTAAGGCACCTGAGAAGGTGGTTCTCCACTGCTGCTTTCCAGCTCCTAATGTGTGCATAGCCAGCAAGTATGAGAGTGAAGGTGGGGAATGGGTCAGATATTTGCCTGTGGCCATGGTGGGATGTGATGCTTTGGTGGAGCCTTGCCTCTGCACCGGGAGCAAGCGCTCTCCTGCCCCACGGCAGTCACCATCTCCCCTTCTCCTTCCCCCAGCTCCGTTCAGGCCAGCAGACACTAAGAGTGTCGTTCGATTTGACCGCTACGGCGATGGGATTGGGCGCTACAACATCTTCAACTATCACCACATGGATGGGCGGTATCGCTATCAGAAGGTGGGCTACTGGGCTGAAGGGCTTATCCTCAACACCAGCCTCATCCCGTGGGCTGAGACCTCCATCCCTGTGTCCCAGTGCAGCGACCCCTGCAAGAAGAATGAGATAAAGAGCATGCAGCCCGGCGACATATGCTGCTGGATCTGCATTCCCTGCCAGCCCTATGAGTACTTGCTGGATGAGTTCACTTGCATGGACTGTGGTCTCGGTTACTGGCCCAACGAGACCCTGAATGGCTGCTACGAGTTGCCCCAAGAGTACATCCGCTGGAAAGACGTCTGGGCCATTGGCCCCGTCACTATCTCGTGCCTGGGGTTTATCTCCACCCTCTTCGTTTTCGGAGTCTTCATGAAGAACAATGACACCCCCATCGTGAAGGCCTCTGGCCGGGAGCTTTGCTACATTCTCTTGACTGGGGTCCTCATGTGCTACAGCATGACCTTCATCTTCATCGCGAAGCCCTCCACTGAGGTGTGCACGCTCCGGCGTCTGGGGCTGGGCACGTCCTTTGCCGTCTGCTATTCAGCCCTCTTGACCAAGACAAATCGCATCGCCAGGATCTTCAGTGGGGTGAAGGAAGGGGTCCAGCGCCCCCGGTTCATAAGCCCCACATCACAGGTGGTCATCTGCATGGCCCTCATCTCTTGCCAGCTGATCATCGTCATCATCTGGCTGCTGGTGGAGACCCCCGGCACAGGCAAGGAGACTGAGCCTGACAAGAGGTACATCGTCACCCTCAAGTGCAACAATCGTGACTCCAACATGCTCATTTCACTCACCTACAATGTCCTCTTGATTGTCCTCTGCACGGTCTACGCCTTCAAGACACGGAAATGCCCTGAAAACTTCAACGAGGCCAAATTCATCGGGTTCACCATGTACACGACCTGCATCATCTGGCTGGCCTTCCTGCCCATCTTCTACGTGACCTCCAGCGACTACCGAGTATGAGCCTGAGTTTTTGGGGGTAGATGGCTTTGATAGGGCTTGATCTGAGCAGTCTGGGTGATTTGGGCCCCATGGGGTTTGTGGATAGGAGATGTGAGGGCCTGGGGAAGGGTCTTTGGTCATGGACTTGGTGATGGTCACCTTTGCATTGGGGCATTCGTGACCGGGTGAAGGGTGGCTGAGGGGGCAATGAGTCCTGGGGAGAAGACTTTCCCCTCGACAGTCTGTTGGCTAGGGTGAGGATGGGAAATCACCCTGAGACCTCCAGAGACCCCTCAATCTGAACACAGAGCAGTGATTGCCATCCTTCAGCCTCATGACGCAAAGGCATGAGACAGCCCCTGGCCCATCCCGACACTCCCCCCCCACGAGGGGATGAATGCCAACCCCAGGGCCAGCATGGTCCCTGGGGAGCCGAGTGGTGCCAGGGAATGGGGAGCATGGGGTGCACCCTGCAGCACCGTCATGGACTTGGTGATGGTCACCTTTGCATTGGGGCATTCGTGACCGGGTGAAGGGTGGCTGAGGGGGCAATGAGTCCTGGGGAGAAGACTTTCCCCTCGACAGTCTGTTGGCTAGGGTGAGGATGGGAAATCACCCTGAGACCTCCAGAGACCCCTCGATCTGAACACAGAGCAGTGATTGCCATCCTTCAGCCTCATGACGCAAAGGCATGAGACAGCCCCTGGCCCATCCCGACACTCCCCCCCACCAGGGGATGAATGCCAACCCCAGGGCCAGCATGGTCCCTGGGGAGCCGAGTGGTGCCAGGGAATGGGGAGCATGGGGTGCACCCTGCAGCACCTCAAAGGCCCTGGCAAGAGTGCCCAGACACGTTCTTGCCAGGCCTGGAGGACTCAGTGGGGGCAGCTGCAGTTGGGGGCGTCCAGAAAGGACACACATTCCTCAGTGGGAGCGTGCACCGGGGTGGGGGGTGCCGGGCTCTGGCCCTGGGCATCGCACCAAAGCAGCACATTGGCAAGGCTGGGGGTGCTGCTCAGGGTGTACCCACTTTTCAGGGGCAGCGTGGCCCCATGAGACCTATGCCCATCCTCTGCCTGTGGGTTTCCAGTGGGTCCACCCTGACAGAGGGACCTGGTGTGGGGTGGGATGTGCCTGTGGGGTGCAGGCAGCAGCCTCTGCCCGGTGCCACAGTGAGGGCTTCATCCTGTCCCACTCCGGGCAGAGGGCTGGTGGCAGGAGCACCTGATGCCCACCCCTGTCTCCAGGTCCAGACCACCACCATGTGCATCTCGGTGAGCCTCAGCGGCACCGTGGTCCTTGGCTGCCTCTTCACCCCCAAGCTCCACATCATACTCTTCCAGCCGCAGAAGAACGTGGCCAGCCACCGCGTGGGCACCACTCCCCCGCCGCCCCCAGCCAGTCCCATGGTGAGCATGGTGGGGTTGGGAAGGGCTGGGGGGCAGCACCCCCTTCCTGGCGGGGAGGAGGGAGCGGGAAGCACCCCAGCATGGGCCCCTGAAGGAAAGTGGGGTGCAGGGTAGGGCATGACTGGAAATGGGAAGGATGGAGGATGCTGTGTCCCCTATGGCTCATCCCTGTCCCTTGTCCCAGTCCCTCATCTCCCGCGGCTGCAAGCCCCAAGGCAGCAGCATGGCCTGCAGGGGGGGATTACTGCTCCTGGGGGACCACCATTGCCCCAAGGGGACATGGCCAACCGAAGCATTCTCCACCCCAGCCCTGGGGGGACACGGCCACCCTGGGCACCCTCCACCCCAGCACCGGGGGATGCAGCTCCCCAGGCACCCATCACCCGCCGCAGTGGGATGCCCTGGGCAGGGGGGGTGGTGGTGCTGCTGCCAGATCCCACCTTGATCCTGACTGCTGCCTTCCCGGCCAGGCTCGGCCTCGCAGTACGTGCCCACGGTGTGCAATGGCCGCGAGGTGGTGGACTCCACGACATCATCCTTGTGAAGGACACGGGGGTCAGGTCGCGGTGCTGCTGCTCCTGTGGCACCCGGCTCCCCGCCCCTGCCAGGGAGAGCAGCGCCCGCAGCACGGCCCGCTCGGGGGCTGGAGGCAGCCGGGAGGCTCAGCCCCTGCCCCGGCACAGGCTACATATCCCACGTGCTGGGTCACGGTACGTGTCCCCCTTCCCTCGCACCGATCCACATTACACATCCCTCATCCCTTGCATTGAGCTATGGTGCACGACCCTCTGTCCTTGCACCAAGCTGTGGTGAACATCCCCAGTCCCTTGCACTGAGCCGTGGTGAACATCCCCGGTCCCTTGCACCAAACCATGGTGAACATCCCCAGTCCCTTGCACCGAGCCATGGTGAACGTCCCCAATCCCTTGAACTGAGCCGTGGTGCACGACCCCCTCCCGCCGTCACCTGCACTGAGCCATGGTGCATGTCACCCCCATCTCTTGCACTGAGCTGTGGTGCACACCTCCCTGTCCTTTGCACCGAGCCGTGGTGCACGTCCCCCCGTGTCACCTGCACTGAGCCGTTGTCCACATTCCCCCACCCCCTGCACTGAGCCCTGCTACGTGTCCACCAATCCCTTGCACCAGGCCATGGTCTGAGTCCCCCTGTCCCTTGCACTGAGCTGAGGTGTCCATTGTCCCCCCCCATCACCCACACCGAGCCATGGTGAACATCCCCCCCCCAAATCCCTTGCACTGAGCCGCAGCGCGCAGCCCCT